AAAAATAACAATTTACACTAAACAAGTGCAACAATCTAGCTCAATGCTAAATTTAAATTTTAAATCAATAAATTTAACCTTTGTACAAGTTGAGTTCATTGATTTTAGCAAAAAAAAAATTCACAAAATAATCTCGGGTTATGAATGTATCTTAAGAAAGTATGTCATTACCTTACTAAGATAAATATTTGATTTTTATTGAAGACACACACACACTAGACTGACGTTGATTTAGAAAGAAAATGGATGATAAATTCATTCGTTAAAGAAAGGTAGAAATTAAATCATTTTAATGAAACCTTCATTAAAATTCTCTCTACAAGTTATACAAAATAAATTTTTTTTCATAGGCAAATAACTGGACTAAACTAGGAAACGTAGAAAATACAAAAATACCTAAATGAAGTTTAATTTTTACTAGAATGCAATTTAAGAAGCTTCAATGAGTGTGTATATGCTTATGTGTTGTACAGTCACAAATAAATTGGTTTACGACCACCTTTTTTTTTTAAGAAAAAAGATCTACAATTGACCGGTTTATATACCCAACCATTCACCGATATCTATCCATACAACATGGCATTACGACAATACAATCTTAATAAAACAGTTTTTAAAACGTATTAACCAATAGAATGACTCATCCATGTCCCCATATTATTATTATTATTATTATTATTATTATTACTATTATTATTATTATTATTATAACCATGCAAACATGTGAAAATGTGAACATGTTATTTCCTGCCCATAGACATCCATCATTAGGATCACATGATATTCAACATAAACAGTTAATGCTTTACTAAGTTCAGAATCCACTACCACTAGATTTTTTTTATTAAACACAGAAGCGGAAGGCCTTACTAAATATTCATCAAGACATTTTTTTCACAATAATTACAAATTTATTATTCAATTTGTAAAAATATGATGAGAATAAACTAAAATTACATTAGGAATATTCTTGTCTATTATTGTAGATGAAAAAATTCCCAAATTTCTTATTTAACACTTTTTCTCACAGGATAAGAGATTTTATCGATCGATTATGAATTATCGATCTAAATGATACATGATTTTTTCAGTAATTCACTATGTTGTATCTCTCGCCTAACTAAGTGGTTTCATGTTGGTAAGAAAGCAAGCGCATTTTAATCTATCCACAATTATTATTATTAGTATTTTGATTATAAAATAATTACAATTTTTGGTGATATCCTAATGAGTAGGAATTCGTATTTCTAACCTCTCGTAATTTAATGTAAGTCACATTTTTAGAGTAAATAAATCAACAACCGAACGAATTAATTAACATAATTCAATTTGATATAGTTTGAAATATCTTGTTATTGATAGAAATTGATAGAAATTTAATTATCCTTGGTTGTGGTATGTGAGATGCAGATTGCCTCAACAGAACCATTATAAACAGAAGTTGCTGTGTAATAGAAAGAAAATATCATAAGCAATGATAAATAGTGACTAGCAATTGAATGCAAGATGCACGTTTCGTCCTGTTTTTTGGGATTCGTCAACTAGTATAAGTTCAAATATTACAAAGAAAACAATGTAAAATACTTTTTAGTGCAATCAAAATCATCACAGGTCTGAACATGTCGATCATGTTATTTTTGGTCAAAGTGATTCTGTATGAGATATCAGTGAGTTTATTCATGCATGTATAATAGTAGGTGTGAAAATGGAAAATCTATAATATGAATGAGGTAGTGAAGTTAACATTTGAATGTGTGAATCTAAATTCACTACAGATATCAAGATCTAATTATTTTGGAGAAAGACAAGCTATAGGGGAAAAAATAATGTTTTAAATATCTTAGGATTTTAATAAGTTAGTAAAAACAAAGAATAACAATTATAGCAACTCACATACATTTGAGTTTGTATACATTTATATTTGGTTAAGCCCTTTTGATTAACTTATTTAACAGACTGTCATTCGTATAGCAACAAAATTATCTGTACCACTGTGCTTTTTGAGTAGATACGATTGAGCATCGCTTACCACCTGAACACATTCATTCTACTCGCTTTAATGTTAACCTCTTAAATAATTCGATGTCTCGATCATTATCCTATATATATATATATATATATATATATATATATATATATATATATATGTAAATTTTAATCCTACTCATTGTCATACTTGCTCACTTGCTCGCTTTCTTGCTCTTTAGCACTTGCATATTAATTTTTGCTTCAAGTGCCTGTGGTCTTGTGATCAGAGTGTGGTGTGATAATCAACGCTTCGTATTCATCTTCTGATGTATACGCCGTTGAGCGTTATCTAGTAACAGTTGTCAGGACGAGCAGTATACGAAGTTTAGGAATATATCGAATACCGACCGGCACAGAACTAGTGAGCTCACATCCATCACACAATTTTCCGATATTTATAAAACATTAAAACCAACTTATCTATCACAAAGTAACAATCCAAATGAAAGATCTTGGTTTGATACTATGATTTTACCTTACAGTTAAGACAAGACAGAAGAATTACAACGGATCTTGAAAACATTCAGCAATACAGCTTTCTGTAAAAATAATCAGCAGTCATTAATTTGCTTTAATTTAGCTTAAAATAAGATCCCATTTACATTTACACAAAATTATATGTATAGATTTATTTGTGTTGAATATGATACGTTCTACGTTGGAGAGTTCCATCGTGAAATCTCGACCTATGCCAAAGAACAAATAAGCTACACAAAGCGAATTCTTAACAACTTTGTACAGTTGGAAAATTTACAAATGAAATCATCAATAACAGTATGTTATTTTCAGTAGCCACTAGATTGATATTTAAATATCGAAATAATTCAGGAAGATTTTTTCAACTATAAAGAGAGGAGAGTAGCCGAAGCATTTCATATAATGTTGAATCCTTCTGCCACCAATAAGGAAGAAGATCTGACTACTTATCAAACCTGGATTATTTAACCAAATAACGACGTTTAACTATTCATATTCATAAAATCTACGTAAACATTTACTCAGATTTTAACTCCACTAACTCAGTGCAAATTACACATCTTCATTACTCACCATCATACAAATAAACACCACTTTGGTATCTCAAACAGAATAATCTTGATCAAAAATTAACATGACACTGACATGTTTAGACTTATTATGATTATTGTTGTACTAAAAATTTAGAACAATTAGTGTGCTAATTTAATTCGGATAGTTATTCATGTACTCAGAAATACATATAGCAAGTCATTAGGACATCATAAAAATATAGATTGATTGAAGTTGCATTTTAATACAATTAGGCACCGACTTAATGGTCTAGAGCTTAAGAGTTCGAGTGCAGAACCAGTCTTAAGTTCTATCCTTGCATACGAGACCGTGGATGAGCACCTATGAGAAGTTCCGTACTACAACGAAACAGCTGTCTAGTGCCTACAAGTTTTCAAAGTAGATCTAGCTAAGATCGGTTCGCGCCTTTAAGTATGAAGTATCTTCCAAATCCCCTTTACGAATATTATTGATTAGAAAATCATTTTCGTTAGTTAAAAGTGGTTAAGGCGTTAGAATTTCAGCCAATTGGTTTCAGGTTCGAATCTCATTTCATCTAATTCAGTTTGAGCACTGGTAGTATCATTATCTGGAACAACTAGTGTGTCCTCCTCAAGTATCTAGTAAATGAGTAAAATCATTTTTCTTGTTTCTAAAGTACATTTTAACCGCAAACATTTAAAAGAATCTTTTTTTCACTTTGAAATCGTAAATGAATCATTGTTAGACCACCATTAAAAAACCTGGAAGCACTGATATAACTGTATGTTTTGATTGTGGAGGTTTCATTGTTTTCTTCTGAACAACATTATCAGCACAAACTTCTACATAGACGTCTATGTAGAAGTTTGTGCTGATAATGTTGTTCAGAAGAAAACAATGAAATCTGCACAACCAAAACATCCAACTCAGAGAACAAAACTCCACCACAATCATAGAGAACTGTCAAACCGAATACTTCAAAATCAATGTTTATAAATAAGCTATTTTGTTCAAATCACATGATATGCTTTTTTTTTTAAAAAATAATACACAATCAATGAATGATCACCTTTACCCTCAATGGTAATTGAAAAATAATCAATGTATCTTGACATCATAGTGATTGGTTTGCTAAAGAAATTATGCAGTCTCATTAATAAAAACTGTCATGATATATATATATTTTTTTTGATAAATTACAATGTCAATAGTAGTCAAGACATTAATCTAAACAATAAAAAAAAATGTAACCTTTCTTAATGGTGAACACTATTCACTTACAGGAAAAGTGCATTTTTCGTGTTATGTTAGTTTGGATTAAGTAAAGAAAAAGACTATTATTTTGATAGATGTGCACTTTTTACAATGTAAGAGGTTACTACCCATAACATGACGATATATCGGATAGGAATAGTTCACAATATCTTGATTGAATCACACACACACACACAAGACTAATGACATGAACAATGTCCGTCTATTAATGATAAATTCTTGTTCTCTATTATATTATTGGAGATTGTTTCGTAACAAAATAATTTGAATAGTGGTTTCAATAACGAAACGACAATATTGTACAAGATTTTTTAAAAAAAATTCTGACAATAAAAAAACAGTTGTTAGATTTGATTGAAAGAAGACAAGAGTAATTTTATATTATTCAGTTCCAGAAGCAAGCTTTGTCTATTTCCTTATTTGTAACACATTCTCACTAAACCATCAGTAGAATAACTAATCATTTCCAATAGATTGATTATACAATTATATAAAATAGTTAACTTGTGAAGCATAGTTTTTAAAGTTCAGATTCAGAAATATACATTATCAGAAAAATGTTGGCCAAAGTTTTCCATTTTATAAGTAACAAAGAAAGTTGAATTACAGGAATTTTCTAATAATAAAAAAATAATTTTTATTATAAAAAATGATAATGAATAATACACTACTAGTAGAAAACTTACCAAGTATCTTTATCATGATGTACAAGACCTGATAATCTTTGTCCAGTGAAACTTTCACCTGAAACACCTTGTTTCTTAGTACGTAAAGACAATTGTTGTCCAATGCTGCTTTCATGCATACCAGTTGCTTTTAATGAAGATGTTATCCCGGTTATATTTAATTTATTTTGTTTAATTGTTTGACATGATGTATCAGATAATGGTGTAACAGAGTGAATCGGTAGTTGAGTTACATTATTGTGAAGTTTTTGATCTAACACTGATTTCAATTTGTCAATATCTCTATCTCGAGCGTTTAGAGCAATTCGTGTTTGACTCAATTCTTGTTCAAGCCATCTTATATGATCGGTGTATCCTCGAATATCTTGTCGTAATCGTTGAACCAAGTTGAGTAGTTCTTCAGGTTCATAGCTTTTACCATCTAAAACTAGACTAAGTCCAGTAGTCTCATATTGATTTGCTTTAACTGGACTATTAAAATTAAGATTATTGTTCCCTGCTCTGGAAGCAACTGGAAGGACAGGTCCAAAAGCTGGTGCTGTTGATGAATGAATATAACCAACAGGATTAGATGCTTCAGTTTGAGGAAGTGTTGCAGCAGCCGGATTCATTGATTGAGTCATCAACGGTACTTCCTGAGTTGGAGGGTGATGATTTAAGTAGTTAGGCCTTTGATCAATTAAAAAGTCAGCAAGACTTTCAATTGGTTTTTGAAATTGTTTCGGTGACTGAACGCTTTTAACCAATGTTGGATGATTAAGATTAGTAGACTGACTTGTTTCAAAATCTGTTCTTATAGTGTCAGTTGTTGTACGTAGGGTTATATCAGTGGTTGATAGTGGAAAATTCCCACTCAGATTTGTTAATGCTGTTGCACCCAACGTCATACACTCTTCTGTAAGAGAATGTTCACAGTTATCGGAATATAGATTGGTATTATTGTTTGTGTTAATCAGATCTTCATTTGGTTGTAGATTGATAGTTACTAGTTGTGGAGAAAAATAACGAGAAGAATCGTTGACTGATTGTGTTAAATATTCCAAAACATTTGTTGGATACGGGCTCCATTTTTTTGCCTGTATATTAGCAATTTCTTGTTGGCCTAATGTGGCCCTTCTTCGTCTATCTATATTGGACAGTGTTAGTAATGTTTACTCAGCGGCAATTGTTATTTATGAAGTTCAAGAATATTTGTACACAAATATTTATACAATTCCAGTTATGAAATCTGTGACTCATTGACAATGAGGACAATAGGATGCATTCATCATGTTTATTAACATACTTAAGAATATTGGTATGTGATAGAAATAGAAAAATCCAGGTTTGTAGTCAATTATAATTGGTTAACATAAGCAACGTGCACAGATAAGTTTATTATCTGGAACATGGCTTCAATTTATACAAACATATCTGACTAGTGCATTGGTGAATGAATACAAATATGTGTTTGTGTGTAGGCACACACATATAACAGTGACAATAGTAATGAACACACATACAATGTAAAAAAAAATTCAATTTGTAAGGTATTTCTATGTTTTAATGTGTTGTCTCCAGGTTGTGGATTACTGGACGCTCAAACAAATTGATATGATGATTAAAATCAATGGCATGGTGATAACGCTAGTGTTATTACAAATGTGCAATGTATGTCTCAAAAATCTAGTAATTACTCCATAAACCTGAGAAAAAAACTACCGTAGGGGTAAGTAGAAAACATCGTAATAGGAAAATAGGACCAACAGGTAGAATGTCAGGTAGAATGACGTCCTGCTGAAAAATGAATTCTCATTTTATTTCATCCACCAATAAGCAATTCGTAGTGATATAGACACACATAAAATTTGGTAAAGTATGCAGAAATCAATACATTCAAACTGAAAATTTTATTAACCAATCAAAGGTCAATATTCAGTAGTAGATGTGCACTTAACTAATGTTATTTGATTTTAGTACTCTAGTTTAAGTTCAATTTTTTTTCGTGTCATTAGCCTTTGGCAATCAGTTTAATGATTCAATTTGCGCTTAAATTGAAAACAAAAATAGGAACTAAAAGACTAAGATGGGGATTTAGTGTGACGAAATGTAAATAAATAAGCATATTACATTATCAAGACTTAGTGAACGGTGTGTGATTTACGCTGTTAAGGTTCACCACTACTCACCTGGAGAAATGTTTAATGAATGCAACATACAGGCATAGAACTTTTATGCTGTCCTGCTGCTTTCATAACTATTGTAAAATTTTATTTGATGCTAGGTATTTTATGAACAATAAGCATATACTTACTGACTAAGCATATTTTTTAGTATTTCTTTCATGTGAATATCAAGCAAGACTGAACTAAACAGCTTCATATCTGCATTGCCATTATACTTCAGTTAATTATTATCCCGTATAAATGTTGATTTTGTTTTTTGAACAGTTTATCAAAAATATAATTGTTAGTGTGATGGAATAACTTTAGTCATACAACCAATTAAAATCATAGCATATTGTACAGTTGTTTTTACTTAGTTGAAATAAAGCAATGAATACATTGTCTTTAAACTGTTACACTTGCATTTCTAAATTACATAATAATAGATGATTATCCCTCAGGTATTTATTTTATACAGTTGATAGCACATTTTAAGAAAATAATATGGGATGTTGGAGAAAATTTCTAGTTCAGGTGGATGATTGTGGTGGTGTTTCGTTCTCTCAACTGGATATTTTGGTTGTGGAGCTTTCATTGTTCTTCTTCTGAACAACATCATCAGCACAAACTTCAGATATACAACCAAAACATCCAGCTCAATGAACGAAACACCACCACAAAATTCTATGGTCGTGAAGGTAATTTTCCTCTCTTCACGGTTGAAATGATGATAGGGAGGTTAGGCATTTACGCGCAAGATAGAAGGTACTGGGTTCATTTCCCGCATGTGGGAGTCGTGAATGCTCACTACTGATGAGCCCCATACTTGGACAAAACGGCCGTCCAGTGCTTGCATATTTCTAATGATGGTCTAAGATTGATTGAATGAAAAAGTTCAAATTTTTCTAGATTAATGATAGACATTTTTATAAATTCACAAACATTGATTCGATCTATAATGAATATTTACAAGTTAGAAAAATACCAATGGATAGCATTAGAATAATACAAAAATTGTGCGATTTTCTATCAGTACAGAAAATAAAATTAAAGCAACTATTGTAGTGAACGAGAACACAGGTGAGGCAACCGAATTGTATTTAGCGAAATTACAGAGCTACTCAGGAAAATTGGAAAACCATATCGTAAATCGTTAATTTGCAAAATATCAGTTCATCATATCGAACTGGACTGTTCCTGTTGCAAAACATCAATCCAGTGTCACTGTTCATGCGTTTCATACAAATTCCATTGTGTTCTAACTCTTCCTTTCTTGATCTTGTCCCATCTTCCGCTGCCAGACATTACGTTGACACTCACGTCATATACTACTTATAAGTAGCTCACACTACACTATCACTTCTCTATGTGAAAACCTCTCACTCATCATTCAGCAAACAATTATCCCAGTAAATGAGAGGTGATTTAAATTACTCTAGGAAATCGAATGATTTGCTGAGAGTTCTGAGAAGTTTTTCCTTGTAGATTGAATTCAGAACTTATTGTTGATTCCACAAATTTAACTAAGAAGTACCAACTTTATCGCTATAGAATTACATCTATAATTATATCTTTGTGAACTGCATTGAAATGTTGTTTCATATATCGTATGAACTATTCTCATAATTCGATTTTGTGAAAATAATTTCAATGTGCATATTGATAAGTCACACATATGAACAAACTGTAATCGGCCAGGTTATTTAGAAAAATGCATAGAAGTAAAGTTGATATAATTTGACATTATTTTGAAGAAATACAAAAATTTCAAGTTAACACAGTTAATGAAATATTTACCAAAGATTTTTTATGTTCTGAGTTGAGTTGTTTTCATTTGGTGAATACTACTCCGTTTAGTCAGTCAATTATATTGATAATATCCTAGATTAGAATGCTAAACTAACTTTATATACCAGCTGTACTTGTCTTATTGATGAAGTGACACTGTCAACACTGATGATTGCATAAATAAATGTTAGCTTCACGATAAAATAAGGCATCCAGTCATCTTAATTAAAAGCATTTTAATAATCTGTATGAGTAACAACCTACTGGGGCATAGAACAAACCAGATTCCAGCTGAGGGAGAAATCAAGAAGTATTGTATGTGGGTAGGACATAGATTGAGGAAAGTACCCAACTCCGTTGTAAGGCAAGCCCTAACTTGTAATCTTCAAAGCCAAAGGAAAAGAGGAAGACCAAGAATTAGAAGCAGACATGAAAAGAATAAACAGCGATTGGACAGAACTGGAAAAGAAGGTCCAGAACAGAGTAGGCTGGAGAATGCTGGTTGGCGACCTATGCTCCATCGGCGATAACATGTGTATGTAAGTAAGTAAGTAAGTAAGTAAGAAAGTAAGTAAGTAAGTAAGTAAGTAAGTAAGAAAGTAAGTAAGTAAGTAAGTAATTAAGTAATTAAGTAAGTAAGTAAGTAAGTAAGTAATTAACTAAGCAAGTAAGTAAGTAAGTAACAATCTGCATATAAGACTGGGCTGATACATAATTTGCCTTTATTCGGCTCAGTCAATAAAAGTGTTTTTCCACCTGTGTAATCAATCGATGATAGTTCACAGATAGATTTGTATTTCATTTTAATCAATCACATTTAAATTCAACAAACAACATATTAGAATATTGATAATATTTTGATCTGTCAAAATATCAAATAGAAGATTTATCAAAAATACTTGATATATTCATCAAGATTAAATTCAATTAGAAAGTTTATGATGAACTATAAAAGAAAGCAACGAACATCTTAATTCTGTTGACGCGATTATAGTGAAATGTCATACAAACAATTGAATAACAATCAAATTAATTTGTTTAATCAAATGGAAGCATAGACTAGTTAGAAAATTCTTCAATACAGTAAAAAAACCTATCTTTATTGATAGTTTGTTGAAAGAGTTGGTTGTAACTGAAAAGTCTTAGGCACAAAATACAGTCAAGAAAAAAAAACTCCGCCAGTAGAACCTTAGGGGCTACTGCCGGTCCCAAGCCCGGATAAAGGAGGAGGGTTGGAAATGGGGTTGGCGACCACATTCCGTCAAAATCTAACTTGCCAAAAAAAACGCTGACCAAAAAAAATAATTCAAACCATTTTAACTCTGCCCTGGGAGTTGGAAGAAGAATTATAACGTCGCGTGATGAAAGCCGAGTTCCCTCGGAAGTCACGGAGCCGATGCCTCTTTTGACAACCAGAGCAACTATTCTTTTAGGTACATGGAACGTTCGTACATTGTGGGAGACTGGAAGACTATTCCAAGTTGCGGCAGAAATAAAAGATACAACCTCGAGGTGCTCGGCATCAGTGAGACGCATTGGACACAGGTAGGACAACTGAGACTAGCTTCAGGGGAACTGCTGTTATACTCTGGTCATGAAGAGGAAAATGCTTCACATACACAAGGAGTTGCACTGATGCTGTCCAAACATGCACAAAAGGCACTAATAGGATGGGAATCTTATGGACCCAGGATCTTACAGGCATTATAATGAACGGACATTATAATGAACGTCATCCAATGTTATGCACCTATCAATGACTACAATGACGACGTTAAAGATCAATTCTACGAAAGGCTGCAGTCAATCGTCGAAAAATGCTCACCAAAGGATTTGACGATTCTGATGGGAGACCTGAATGCCAATGTTGGAATGGACAACACTGGATATGAAGACATCATGGGACGACATGGACTGGGAGAAAGAAACGAAAACAGTGAGAGATTTGCAAACCTATGTGCCTTCAACAAACTGGTCATCAGTGGCACAATATTCCCGCACAAACACATTCACAAAGCTACATGGATTTGACCGGACCACACTACTCAAAACCAAATTGACAATATCTGCATCAACAAAACATTCAGAAGGACCATGGAGGATGTGAGAACTAAGAGAGGAGCTGATATAGCTTCAGATCACTATTTGCTGATCGCCAACATGAAACTGAAACTAAAGAAGCACTGGACAACGGGGCAGACAACATCACAGAAGTTTAATACAGCCTTTCTTCGGGATACCGTAAAACTCAACGAATTCAAGTTAGCCCTCACCAATAGGTTCCGTGCCTTTCAGGATCTACTCAATGGAGAGGACGCAACATCGGAGAACAATTGGAAAGGGATTAGGGAGGCAATCACTTCAACATGTCACGAAGTTCTGGGTCACAAGAAGTACCATCACAAGGAATGGATCTCTGTTGATACTCTTGCAAAAATTGAAGAAAGCAGGAACAAGAAGGCAACAGTGAATGTCAGCCAAACAAGAGCAGAGAAAGTTAAGGCACAAGCTGAATACACGGAAGCAAACAGGGAAGTGAAGAAGAGCATCAGAGCTGACAAACGAAAATATGCGGAAGATCTAGCAATGACGGCGGAAAAGGCTGCAAGGGACGATTGTACGAAACAACAAAGAAGCTCGCCGGGAACTATCGTAAACCAGAACGACCAGTGAAAAGCAAGGAAGGGAAAGTAATCAGCAACACTGAACAACAGCGAAATAGGTGGGTAGAGCATTTTAAGGAACTCCTGAATCGACCAGCTCCACTGAACACACCCAACATCGAAGCAGCATCCACGGATCTCCCAATTAATATTGGCGCACCTACGATTGAGGAGATCAG